GGCCTCCTGGCCACCCACCAAGGAAAAAAGCCTGATGCAGTGAGAGAAGACTCTTATCTCTGAACATCACATCATCTGCTTCCAGACAGCAGAGCTGTGATCTGAGCAGGTGATGACTCGTACTAACTCTCCTTTGAGAGCCATATCCCATCTCTGGATATCTCCTTCATTGTCTTAGCAAGACTTGTTCTACCATAGGAGTTTTGGGGAGGGCTGATGGAGTAGAGCCCCCAAAATTGTGATTAAATATAAATAATAACTAATTAAACATGAGCAGTGACTATTTCATACAGATGCAGCTCTACCGTTGTTCCTTGTGTAAAGCTAGCCAAATCAAGTGCCTCTTTACTTTGTCTGGAAACTCCAGGAAGTACTTCAAGATCACAAAGCACAGATAACTTTTTGCTCTGTACCATTTTATTTGGGAGAAGAAAGACAATACTATTCCTTTCCCTGTGAGAGGTGGGAACCTGAACTGCGAATGCAGCCCAGACACAGCATTATGCTTGGTGCGGTCAGTCTGTCCTTTCAATGAAGGTTTATTCCTGGATCTTGGCTTGTCTGCTTGTGGATGGCAATATAGAAATACTGCGACAGGGACGCATTAATCCATACCTAGAGCTCTGCTACAGGGCTTGTCCGCTTGCAAGTTTGAGGAGGGAGCCCACCAGAAAATACAAGGTATCCACAGCCAACACCAGGAGGTTCCAGCTCATGCTCCAGTTCATCATCTGGTCTGACCTCTAAGAAATCACTTGTACCATGATGGGCAATACAGCACCTGGGACTTCCACCAAACAAGAATGTAAATTGTTTGCATCCCACTGTCCTCTGGAAAGGCTTTCCAATTTGTCCACCTTACCTATAAGAGGATGATGATTGTGAAACTGGTCTTAATGGCGACTTGATTTGCTTTGCAGCTACAAGGTGGTTATCTTAGAGGTGTGTTTTTTATTTTTAATCAAATAAGCTGGAGATGGAAGCAATTGGAGTTGCTTTGTAGTTTGTCCTCTGCAGATAAAAGAAGAAAAACTTTTCCCAGCTGTCTTTTGATTGTTTCTTTGTCATCTCTGGAGCTTCAGAAAAGGAAGCCTTTTCCTTTCAAGGAATAACCAAGTGGACTAATTAGGCCTTATCAGTCAGTCATGTCATACCAGTCTATGTCAACTAGTTGATGTATATACACTCCCTATATTATAGCTCCATTCCCTGGAGAGCAGATTGCATCCACCGCCTGCCCTGGGAAATTCCCATACCTGAAATCTAAGGGGAGTCGTCATCTCCACCCTTGTACCTGTGCTGTAGCTGCTGTCTGCCTAGTGACCATCAGGGCTCCTCCTCTCCATGCTCCCAGTTAGTTACCAAGCCTACAAACCACTTGTGTGGTTGAAAGTATGCCCTGTTGCTTGCTTTAGAATAGCAGCTGTTTGAGATGTAGAGATCAGGGGCATCTCTCTGCTTTTTTAGTGTCCCACTTCACAGGCCTTCCAAGTGGGTGAGTACAGTTGAGTGTCATCTGTGACATTACTAGACTACATCAGTGACATCCCAGTGTTACGCAGTCCAGTGAGCAACCTTACTTGAAAAAAAAACATTGTCAATGGGCACGTTGACCATGTGTGAACTTGGGATGTAATCCTTGCTGCACTTGCTGTGGCTGCTGTAAGGAAGGGCAGGCCCAGAACTGGACAGCTTCGATTCCACTTGGGTATATCTGCGTTGTGACTAGCTCTAGGTCTTCAGGGATAGCAAACTGTTGGCACAGGGGCTTGGGCGAAATCTTAAACTGTCTGAGTCTGAGCTGCCCTATTCTTGCACTTAATGAATCTTTGATGTAATTTGTATTGAGGCTGCTTACGTGATGGTGTGCTCACCTAATGTGAATGAGGACTCTAGGACTTGTCTACTGAATCAGGTAATTGGTCTATCCAAGCAGTTTCCTACCTCTGGTGAAGGGCTGATACCCCTTTTCTGGGAAAGTGCAGAAGTATACAAAGTAACCTGTGAACTGAATTGTGCTTTGTATGTGGCAGGAGGAGGAAGTTCCTTCCTGACCTCTTGAGATGATCGGTATATGCCTTGAAGCATGCAAGGCAATTGCCCTCATATATGCTTGCATAACTACAAATATCATTGGCTAAATAATTACATAGCCTCTTGAAGAGAGAAAAATCAGTTGCAGAATGTGACTTGGTGCCTTTCGTATCAGACTGTTCCAAGAAGTATAATAGTCTCTTACTTGAAGTCCTTATACCTTGATATTAAAATGCATTTCATTGGCATTGATAGAATCAAAGAAATGTTAATGCTCCTACTTCTAATCTTTCTTGAGACATAGTAAGTATAATTTTAATGAAAATCACTGTGCATGACATTCTTATAATACCTGTTTAAAAAAAAAAAAGAGAAAAAAGCAATATATTTTAAATGAATCCTCAAACACCATGTAGTCCGTGTGTTTAATACCAAAACCATTTTCTTGTGTTTCTGAGGCTGTTGCTATATTGATGTGTGACATTAATTTTCAATAAAATTTTGCATCTTGGTTTATCTTGGGACTTTTCCTTGGCTAGATGGCTTTCTCTAGACCTTTTACATATCTGGTCATGTGATGGAATAGTTTAGTTGAAACGAGTATGGGTATGAAGAAAAATGCCTTTGTTTCCTGTTTTATTCACTTGAGCTTGATTGTCTTAATCTTGATTCTTATGAGTATGAATGAGATAAGAATGGAGTCCTTAAGCTATATGTTATAGTATGCATTTGTTTTGTATAGTGTAGAGTGCTTTGGGTTGGACCTGTTTTGCTTGCTTCTCTTTTTTTTTTTCTTTTTTTTTTTTCATCCCCAAAGTATTTAGTAGTCTCCTAACTAGCTTTGCTGAAATCCCAGTTGGTGGTGGAGAGAGCAAAGTTGGGCCCTCTACTGACCTCCTTGGAGAATCTTCTTCCATAGCAACAGGCAACCTTTCAAAAAAAAAAAAAAAAAAAAAAGTTTTAAGTCATGAGCTCTGTGAATAAAATCTGTCCTGAGCTTAAACAATGCAATTAAATCTTTCTGGGGAAGTCTTTGTTGATTTGATTTGGAATTTTGCTGTGTATGTGGTGACTTCCTCACTTGTATATCATGCAGATTTTGCCCCAAGAGACTACTCGGGTGTGTATTAATTTTAGTTGAAGCCCAGTTAAGATAGGTGCCTGAACCTGTAAAGTAGAAATATTAATTTTGGTCCTAAATCCAGAAGCCTCTTAGGTTAAGGGTGGTGTCAACCTGACTTGAATTTCATGGCTGGCCTCAACTTTCATAATTGGTGAATTGAAACCTCAGATCTGAATCATTCCCTTCACCCTGAAAAGTTGGGTCTGAACTTCATGGCTCGGTTTCATTTCCCCTTGGGAGTTGCTGCCATCATTAATATTAATTTGTGAAGCTTCTTGTGCTTTCCACTTCCTTGAGTCTATGAAGTTTGCTGGATCTTGTCCTGCATCTTCACTGCCAAAGGACAGTTCACACCCTTCTGTACCTCCTGTAATTGTGTAATTAGGTAAGATTTCTTCAGGGCCTTAGATACTATAGCCTGTTAGCATAGATGTTTTCTCCACCCAACAATGCAAGTCTTAAAAGTGCAGGAAGCTGAAGACTATATAATTGTATGAAACTTGACCTTGAGTGCTGAAGGTTTTAGTAAATTATCTAGGAATAAGCCTTTTCTTTCCTTTACACTTTGCTTATTTGAAGTAATAACTATTCTCTTTGCATAGAAGAAAAGCCAGTTCCCAGGATTTGGTGTAACCAGTTATACTCAGACGAAAAATTTTCCCAATGGGAAATAAGATGGGAATGTGCCCTTGCACGTTCACTGCAGGGTCACCATGATACGGCCAAATGAGTGCTGGGCTCTGTGGCAAGCTGGGTGACCTCCACGCTGTTGGGTGAGCATGGCTTGCAGGGGTATGTCATATTGGGAAGCATGCCCGTTTCCCCAGCGCCTTTGCCCAGTCTTGCAAACGCCCCTGGTGTCGGAGAGAGAAAAACCTGGTCTCTTGCGGCATGGCGGTGCTCTGCCAATTGTACTGTTGAACCCGCTTTAATAATCGTTTTCTGCATATCCCAAATAAGACCCCACTGCAGATGGGATGCCACAGCCGTAACTTGATCTGGGAACTGGGCTGCCGTTCAGAAGAAGTCTGGTCTTCGTGCTCTGGATCGCTTACGAGGCAGGATTGCAGCTGGGACCCTTGGGGCTGGGCAGGGGTGAGCTGGATGGAGTTTGGGGCTGTCTGGACTTGAGGGAGGCTAGTGCTGTTGTCGAGTGGTAGTAGGAATATGATACTCTTTGGAAGCAGCCTGCGGGGTTTGGATACCAGGTTCTCCTTCACACCAACAAAAGCTGCATGTCAGTGTCCCAGGCACTTCTGATCATCTCAGTAGAGGTCCCTACAGTGTGTGGAGTCAGTCTTGAGCAAAGAGCCTCTGGCTACCTGATAACAACCTGATTATATGAATAACTAGGAATTTCAGAGAAACCAACGTCATAAGCGTGGCCTGATCTGAAAATTGTTTCTCCAGTCAGGTTTTAGGGGTAGTTAGGATGGTTTGAGATTATTTCCTCAGTTCTTGTTCTTATGAAAAAAGTCTGACCACAAGGAGAGTTTAACTTAAAAATACTCTTTTTTAGTTTTGGCAGCTGTTTGCTGGCTTTGTGTATGTTCTTTTCAACTGAAACACTTATGTAGAAACTTTTCCTTAAAAATTTTGAACTGAAAGAGAAGCTTTCCTTTGATGGTATTTCACCATTTGTTTTTCAAATGCCTAGAATATCTGGGGAAACTTCTTATTTCCTGTTGACTCTCTCTCTCTAATGATCTTTATCTGCTCCCATGGTGTCAGTGATTTCACTAGCAGTAGCTCACCACTGCCACAAAAAGAAAACATAGACCCTTAGATGCACACTCTTAACCAGCTGCTGTGATCCTTGTCCTAACATCTCCTTGGTTTGCAGGACCTCCATGCAGTCGCAGTCATCCTACGGCTCCAACTCTCCACCACTCAGCAAAATGAACAGCATGAACAAGCTGCCCTCAGTCAGCCAGTTAATTAACCCTCAGCAGCGCAATGCCCTGACCCCAACCACCATCCCTGACGGCATGGGAACCAACAGTAAGAAACCCTTGCTCCTTCTTATCCTGTTCCACGCGTGCTTCCCGCTAGTCTGGGCAAGGAGACTTGGCATCTCCAAGCGGCTAGTGTTAGTCCGGGGAGCCTGGAGTCATTTTCTGGGAACCTGCAGAGTCAAATAGTGCTCACTGCTGTGCCATGGGGCAAATCACCTGCCTTCTCCAGGCTTCAGCATCCTGCCCCGAGCCTCACAGAGGTGAACAGAGCTACTGCTTGCTGCAGATCTGGCTGGCTGCACCGTCATCTGCCTTTCAAGACTTGTTTCTTCTTCCTTTCCCAGCAGAGGAGATGCAAATGTTGACAAACTTTTTCCCCTCAGTTCAATTAAGACATTTCTTTGTTTCAAAGGAAATATCTGCATCTCACAGTTCTGTAACCTTCTTCCTCCTGGCTGCTGAAGAGTGCCCAGCAGCCCTGTAAATCTAGGGTGACAGACATGGTTTTAGGGGCCGAGTTTTGGTGGTAGTGCGTTTTGGGCGATTTTGTTGTTGTTTTTTTGGTGGTGGTGGGTTTTGGAGTGGGTTTGGGTTTTTTTTCTTTTTTAAATTTTTAATTTTTATTTCAAAAGCACTGGGCTCTTGCCCACACCTGTTGCTGATCCCCTTTGGGTGCTCTGAGTGTCTCTGAAAACAAAGCTGTTTGGCTTTTGTATTGGGTTACTCCGCTGGCTCTGTCCTGCTCCTCTCCTGTGGCAGGGAAAGCTGAGATGCCTGCAGCTTGCTTGGGTTTCTACTGAGCCTGTTCGTAAGGGAAGGCGACGTGGTGGAGGTGCTGCCGACAGTTGCTCCAGCGAGGGGGGAGCTCCTGAAGGACTGTCTGTCATCTGGTCCTCATGCGGTCATTGCGGCCCTGCCCGAAATGCTCCGTGCAATGCTTTGCAGGGGATTTAAGGCTGCAGGTGCTGTCCATTGGTGCTGTGCTGGGGGTTAGCAGGGATCCGGGGACACCAGGGTAACAATGTGCTGCTCCTTCTCTCCTCCAGTTCCCATGATGGGCACCCACATGGCCATGACCGGCGACATGAATGGCCTCAGCCCCACGCAGGCGCTGCCTCCTCCCCTCTCCATGCCTTCAACGTCCCACTGCACCCCCCCTCCTCCATACCCTACAGACTGCAGCATCGTCAGGTGAGCGGAAGCAGGCTGCCCGGCGCATGTTTCCCACCCGCAGGGAGCGGAGGCCTCGTGTTGGGAGCCTGAAGGGTCCTGCTGGGTCCCTCGCCCTGTTCTCCTGGAGCCTCAAACCCCCACCTCTGAGCAGCTGAGATAAACAGGGACCTTAGGACTGCAAGAAAACCAAGGGATGCAGCACCTGTTGGACTGGTGAAGATGAGGGTGCCAGGCAGTCTTGCAAACATTTCTTTTTTTCTTTTTATCCCCTTTGGCCACTCAACATGGCTGGGGTCAGAATCCCTCTGCCCTCCATGAGGTTGAACAGGTTGAAAGATGCTGCCCATAAAGGAGGAATTCTTTATGCTTAGGGAGGAATGTGCTGATTTGAAGTACTTTGTGTACATCGTGTGTCTGAGCGTTGCTGAAGCCCTCTATCCATGCAGCAGGCTGCCACGGGCTCAGCCATGTTCTGGATGAAGTGAGGTGGCAGAAGGATCCACATGAGCCATCCTGCCCCAAGATCCAGGCTGTGTGGCACCAGCTTTTGACTAAGGCAAGGTGCTGCCATGAGGGTTGTCTGCTAGGAGCCAAGCTGAAGGACTCCCTCACTTCTTTGATGTGGTAGTGATGTGGCTTGCTGGCCTGGGATGTCTTGGAGAAGGTCAAGCCAAGGGTGAAAGCTTTGTTTCCTGTTGCTGCAGATTGGCTGAGTATTTGGTTTTTCTGTGGTTTGGGCTGTTGCAGCCAGGGTGATCCTTTTTTCTTTCTCCTTCCTTCCTTCCTCCTCTGCAGCTTCTTAGCGAGGTTGGGCTGCTCATCCTGTGTGGATTATTTCACGACCCAGGGGCTGACCACCATCTATCAGATTGAGCATTACTCCATGGATGTAAGTAACTCCTCACCATTTCCTTTGTTTGCACTCTTGGCCCTACTGTAGGAACGGGTCAGAAATCCAGACTCAGGGTTTTTTTTATATGATTAGTTTGATTTAAGGCTGTTGCACACAGAGAAGACTTATTGTGAGGTGAAGAGAGGCTGGACTCAGGGCCAGCACAGTAACTGCCTTGCCTGGCACAGAGAAAGAGGGTCTCCCCCTCCCCACCACTGTCCAGTTTAGCCCCTGAAGTGGCCCCAGCCCACATGCCTGTTAATTCTGCAAGGCTTGGTTTCAGTTTACACTGCTCTGAAACACCTCACTCGCCTGCAGACAAGTAGGCTGTCCAGAAGTGGTCTGCGTTTTTCACTCCCTGCTTCTGTTTTCTGGCCTTACCTTAACAATCTTCCCTTGCCACTGGCATCTCAGCCCTGGTTTTGGGTTTGTTTTTTTTTTTTCCTCTTGCATGGCTTTTACCGTAGGGTTGCTGCTTCCTCTCCTGTGCTGTTGCTCTCCTCAGAGCTGGCCATCCCATTTTTTGCCCCAAGACTTTGCAAGGCTGTGGTGCTTTTGCTTCCTAGCCTGGGTTGCCTGCCTTACTGCTTCTGCTCTAATTAGAAAAGCTGACCCAACTTAACCAAAGCTGGTTGCTAATTTTTTCAGAAGCTGATATGACATTTCCCAGAGTTAGGTAAGGTTACCCTCAGGTACTGTACCTGCGCAGAGATGATGGGGCCTCAAAGTCCAAGTTTTCTAAGGTTAGGCTTCTGTTCTTAAATTTTGGTTATGTTCAAGCAATTAAGGAAGTTCCTATAGAGTCAGACCCAGAGTTTCAAATACCCGAGCTCAGACTTTGATTCTAAAATCAGGCTTTGAAATAAAAATGGAAGTTTTCAAAGCCATTGAGCTTTGAAAATGCATCCCCCACTATAGACAACCAGCAGATCTCCCTGAGGTTGTCTCGGAGGCTGTGCAGTCCAGTTAAAAGTCTAGCTTTAGGTCACCACATCTCATGCATGAATGTGTATTTTGTGTAGCTTCAAAACAGACCTTGCATCATCAGTCCTTGCTGCCTCTTGGCTGCATGTGCTTGTTCAGAAGTGAACCATCACCTTTGGGATTAGTGGTTTGTGTCCTACAGTGCATCATGACCCCCTGGATTTTAGCAGCTTTACGGGTTAAGAGGCATTTGCAGGGTGGCCCAGAGGTTGCTTCTACTCCCAAAGCCCAGGTTGCCCAGGGATTGCCCTGTTAAGCCCTCCTCCTTGCCTTGCAGGATCTGGTGAGCCTCAAGATCCCGGAGCAGTTCCGCCATGCCATCTGGAAGGGCATCCTGGACCACCGGCAGCTCCATGACTTCTCCTCCCCTCCCCACCTCCTGCGCACCCCCAGCGGCGCCTCCACCGTCAGCGTGGGCTCCAGCGAAACCCGGGGGGAGCGGGTCATTGACGCAGTCCGCTTCACGCTCCGGCAGACCATTTCCTTCCCGCCCCGCGACGAGTGGAACGACTTCAACTTCGACATGGATGCCCGGCGCAACAAACAGCAACGCATCAAGGAGGAAGGGGAGTGAGCTCTGCAGACCCCGCTCCACCCCGCCTCGGCCACAAACTGCTCAGCCCTTCATTTGTCTTCCTTCTGCTTGGTACTGCACCCCTGGACGAAGGGCAGAGGGAGTCTTCTTGCTCACTCCTGCTAGTTATGCTCTTGATGCTGTCTAGGTCATGCTCCTGGACCGCGACTTCCACCCCCAGCTCTTGCAAGAGGGAGAGCTGAGCGAAGGGGGAAGGCGGGTGGTATTCCCTTGAAAGCCGTTGACCTTCTCGAGAAGGTGTCGTTCTTGTTTCGTGTTTTTCTTTGGGGGGAGGGCTTCTTTTCTTGACTTTTGAATCCTCATACACCTTGTGGGTGTCCTGACCTGCAAATTTGTCTCTCTCATCCAGCGATCCCACTTTGAAAAGCAGGAAGGTTAAAATTAAATTTTTTAAAAGCCAAAAAAACCCCAAAACCCAACACCAAAACCAAATGTAAAAAGCCTAAAGCCACCAAACCCTGAACTGGCGGTTCATCTGAAAAATAAATGGGAATTAGTCTGCTGAACGTTGCACTTAAACAGCCTCTTCCCACGGAGCTGAGTGCTCTGTTCATGTGTAGTATTCTCCAGCGGAGACAGCACATGCACTTTGCTGGGCAGGCCAGCGCTTACGGCCACCTGCAACCAACCCACTTTTTCCTTTTCCCTTGCCTTCTGCAGGGGAAAAAACAAACCTACTGTTTCTTCTTGTTTTGAATTTACATCCACATGTATGTCCTGGTTTACTTGTTCCAGGATGTCAACACAAATACAGCCATTGGTCGCTCTTGACTTCTGTCCCCCATCCAACCTTTAGTCATTCTGTACTACTACTGACATTTAAGCTAGAGAATTAGGCTTTGTCACATACGCAGCCTGGTTAGTTTAGCATAAGGATTTGCCTGCCTAGCCTCCAGTTGAACAGAGGACCAACTGAGAGCTGCACACTTATTTGTAGGGCTTCAGCTACCCTAAACCCAGACAACCTTTTATTTAGACCGTGCTAGATTTGGTTTCCTGCCAAGTAAAGTAGAACCATCTTTAGATATATCTGTAATAGGCTGGAGCCTGTTGTGGTTTGTTGCTGGTGACTATAGACTAAGCGATGAGCAACTAGAAGTGGAGAGTAAAAAAAGAAATTTCCAACTGCCTTGGACCAAGGACCAGTTTCCTGTAATATGAGTGTTGCTACTGCAAAAAAAGTCATGTTTACATGAGAAATTGATTTTTCTGTTTTTTCTTTATTGGTTCTACAGCAGCTGTGCTCTGAGGCATTTCCTCTGACTGCCAGTGGTCCTGTGGACGAATAACTGAACCGAGTGCATGTTTTCACATTTATATTGGCCAAGGTAGTGAGACTCTAACGTATATACAACAAACCTAAACTAAGGAGCCTGGCTCAGCGTGGCTGCTTTCAAGTTGGCTTGTTTTTTTTTAACAGTAAGCCTGACTTTTTTTATTGGGGAAAGATGAAAAAAGCAGCTTAAATGACTTGTCATCCTACCTTGCTACAAGCAAATAATCTCGTTTCAATGCAGTGGCTGTTTTCTGGTCCCTGCTGTGTGCCACGTATTTCATTTAAGTCCGGTATTGTTAGCATCCTCCTCCATCTGTTGTGCCAGGTCTATGTTGCATTCAAAGACTGCCTTTTGGTAACTGTGCAAGCCTACTTTGGATAGCTCTGAATGGTAATGCAAGATGGTTACCCTGTAAAGTGTGTGTATATAAATATTTTTTTGTATGTGTAATTTTTGTTTCCTACAGCATAACATGCCAATTTTTATTTCTTCTTGGGCTACCGGGTCTGACAGAACCACAATAAAATGTTGTTTGTTTTTCTGGTTTTTTTAATAATTATTTTTATGCAGAATGCTTACAGTATACCTTGTAACAAATGACTCATCACTGGACAAATATATTTGTATTTTTCATACTGAGATTCCTGTGTTACTTTGCAGTTGAGGGGGGGAGGGGGCAGGTACTGAAAGCCTGATTTATCATTTTATTTTGTAACACTTCAAAGAGCAGCGTCCTAGATTTCAAAGTATTTAACATGCTCAGTGTGAAAACTTACTGCATCTTTTTTTTTTTTTTTTTTTTTCTCCTATATGCTACAAAAGAAGCAAGTCATCCTACTCTTGACTCGATGCAAGACTTAATTCAGCGGGGCAGTGTTAGTGTGGGGAAAGTGTTAGTGCGGGTACTTTGCAAATTCCTGGAGGTGAATTAGGTTGTGCCCTTCTCACCTCCAAGGTTTTGCATCTCCATTGTGTAATCCTTCTGAGCTGCTTCAGTATTGTACAAATATTGATGCAAAAATACCGTCATTTTAGGAACTAGGAAGCTTCTGACTATAAAGGTTAATGCAGTTAATGCTGCACCCAGAGTCTGGGTGCGAGAACTTCAATATCTGCTTTTCAACTCAGCAGTGAGATGGAGCTTTTCTGCTGCATCACTAATGGTTAAAATACATGCTGTGAAAACCTTCTTTCTACTGTATACCACTATGGAGCCCACTTCTGTATAACTGGAATCTTCAAGTGAGTTTGAACTGCTGTAGCTTTTACCCTCCCCTGTAGAGCTGTGATTTTTTTGTTTTATTTTGTTTTGATACATCAAAGCGTATGGGCTAATTGAGAATCTGCCAATGCTTGTAGCAATGACAGTGTTGCCTGCACCAGGACCTGTGTGTGTTTTGGAACACCTTGTTGTTGAAGTCAATGAAAATAAAAGCCAAACTGAAAATGACACTGAATTCCCAAAGAGCTTCTTTTCTTGCCTGTGCGCCTTCTCGGAAATGAGCAGGAGACTTTGCTGCTGCTTTCTCCTCTGAGCAGCCGGGGCTTAGTGTGGCCTTTGTCCACATGTGCAGTTTTTCTCATCCCCACAGCATCCATGCCACAAAGGTGTGTTATACGGTGCCATCACATACCCATCTGCCTTCTTTCCAGCAGCTCAAATGGGTCAGCCCCTGTAAGGGTCTTGCTGAAATGTGAAGTCTTCTGGCTTTTGCATCACTTGTGTGGCTCTCTTTTGCCCTTTCATCAGGTTTCTTTTTTCTGTTTCTGAGCAGGGCTTTAGGAAGGGCCCCGTGTTCAGTGTCCTGCTCAAACACGATGGAGCTGTGACTGTTGTGTGTCCTGATCAGGGGGAAGGGAGCGTGTGCTATGAGCAGACAGGGTCAGTGCTGCCCTTTCCTAACTCCACACTTGCGGATAGCTTTGCACAGCCATCTCCTCCACCCTACTCAGAGCTTGGGGAGGTTTGCCCTTCTTATTTAATTTACACCAAAAGCTTTGCGCATCATCTTGTGCATCACCCCATGCATCCTCTCTCCTACCACAGTAATTTCCTTTTCCTTTGCATCTCAATTCCTCTTCCAAAGATTTGAAAGAGTAGCTGGGTGGCTGTCTTGAAAGTGATGGAGTGGCTGCCATCAGCCGGTGCCTTCAGTCTGTCCATGGACCACCACGTTAACAGCCCAGCTTCATCAGTGGTTTTTGTATGGGGGCCCATGTCTCTCCCTCTCTTACAGTTTTCCTGGGTTATGGTTGGGGGAGGGGGCTTGGAAACCAGCTGGGAAAAAAGACAAAACCAAAACAACCCAAACCACAAAGATCTTAAAAGAGGAAAAGGCTTCCCTTGGCAGTTAGTTTCACTTTCACTATTAAGGTAGGGAATAGCTGCATGATTTCTTTGGTTCTGGTCTCTCTTTTCCTTTTTGCCGAAGGATTAGAGAAGCAGTTGTCCCTGGATATCAATATCCAGAGGCATCAGTCCCCTGATTCCACTCTGACAGTCAGGGATTGCTTGAACATGATGTTAAAAACTAGTAATTGCCCTTAAAGAGAGAAGTGCTGCTATAACAAGTGCAAGAACTTGCTGTTTCAGCTGACAGACTCTGCCTCTAGATGAGCAAATTGGATCAGGTAAAATAGGATTTTGGTTTCTATTAACCAGGTAAGCTTGAAACATGTTTGCTGATGGTTGCAGTTGCTGACTTCTGTGATCCACTGCTGAAGTAGGAACTTTTGCATTGCTTATGTTGCAGCAAGGGGTTCAGTGCTGAGGAATCTAAGCTGGCGTTCCCCTTTTTGCCCTCCACCCGTACCCGTTGGAATTTTGTCTTTGGGTATTGGGATGCTTCATATGCAGGCATGAAGTTTTCAGGGCAGGGATCCATCACAAGCTTCCAGCTGTGTTTTGCAAGCCTGGGTGGGCCCCTGAAGACGTGCATGCCCTTCTATGCTGTTTTCTAAGTGTGCTGAAGCTAGCAGTCCCCTGGAATGAAACTTATCCGGACACAACAGAACTTGGCAAACATCCGATTGGAGCCTGTGAAGGGTGTCTTGCTCATCACGTTCTTCCCGTCCTGTGTGGCTTAGCAGAACCCCCTTCCTTCTTGGTGGCAAAGTGTCCGCCTGCACTGTGGTGGGAGGATTGCAGGACCTGGCCTCCTGCTCTGCCTCTTTGCACGTTGTTTCTCAGTGGTAAAACCATATGGGCAGCCCAGCCTAGCGCCAAGCAGGAGCTTGGGCTGTGTGTCCTTCTGCTTTGCTGAGCTATAAACTGTGTAGCTTATACCAATTGCTGTGCAAAAGTTAAGGAGGAGCTACACTAGGCCAGTGCTTTAGTCCTGCAAAGCTCCCTTGCGTGGTCTGCTCCGTGGGGCAGCGGTGCATGGCCACTACCCAGACGTGGAGCACGGCCGTGCCTATGCTGAGCCTTCACCAGGCAGGTTTGGCAAACAGCCTTGCCTGGCTGCCAGGCTCAAGCTGGTGGTTTCTGGGTCCTGAGCTGTTTTGTTTCTCTGTGACCCATGACAGCAGTGAATCATCTTCCTGAGCACATAGCAAAAAGCAGAGGCTGGAGTTTTGGAGCCAGATAGACTGCCCGTGAAAGTCAAATAAACTGGAAGGAAGTCAGTCTTTATGCTCTATTGGCAAGGACTGGCTGCAGCTTTCCCCCAGCTTGCTTCCCTAAGATTAGGAAGCGAAAATTTTACTCAGAGGTATATGTCAGTAGCCATTTGCTACAGCTTTGCTCTCCTAATCTGAGCCCCATGGACTGATCCCTTTATCTTATATGCCCATCCTCTCCCAACTGTATACACCATCCCTTCAGCACAAGGCCTTAACATTAGCGCTGTGAAACCAGGTTTTTTGCATGTGTGTTTCTGTTAATAGGTGCCTTTCAGCAGAGGAGTTGGAGCCCCTCCACAGCCTCCTCCATCTACCTGTGGACGTTGCAGGGCTGCCCATCACAGCCATGTCCTGCTGCCAGGTGAGTGTGGCTGTGTGCTTCCTTGGCTCAAACTGGTCTAAGTCCTTTTTTGAGGGCATGGGGGGATAAGCTGGTTTTGTAAAATGCTTTGACTTCCTTGTAAACACTGCTACAGCGTCACATGTTTTGTTCTTAGGAAACACCATCT